TCAGTCAAATATATAGAAAACCTGATTTACAAAAAAATGCTTGGTTCTCTGCCATAGGACTCTACTGGATGTGTTCCACAATTTGAGCTAGACAATTTTGATGCCACAGAAACCAACCTGTTCAAGACTTCTCTATGACAGTAGGATTTTCTAACCTTCTTTGGCAGTCTGTTTGGTATTTGCAAATGATACCTCTACTTAATGATTTCAAAGGCCAATTATGGTGTTTGATCAACTTCTGGACCTTTTTTAATTTTAGCACATACAAACTCAGAAAAGTAATAAACATTAATTAGTAAGAAGAGCCTGGAGAAGTGTGAGTTACCATGGGAACATCAAGCTATCACAGGCAAGTGCGCTTTGTTCAGAACTACTGATTAACCAAGTTTCAATAGTCTTTATGGTATATTGACAGAGACAACTATTCAGTTATTTCTACTCATAATAACAAGAACTGAGAACTGAGTTGATGATGTGATTAGCCACCATAAAGAGTTCCTAGAGCTGACCCTGGGTTGTTCAAAGCTACATAACCCAGGGCTAGTGTGAAATTTGATTTTAGGTCTGAAAGCTTTAAGAGAAAGTTCAGTTCAAATCTTTTTGCCTGCAATTTCATCATTGGATTTCCTAAAAGTAATAGAGGGAAGATTTTTCCTTAAAAAGGATTTTTGAACAAAGAAATAAAGAAATCTGGATTAAAATTTAACCCCAGGTTAGTGCTAATTGGCCTTTGAACAACTGGGCCCTGATGTTTGAAGCATGTTTCATCCACAGAACTCTAACACACCAGAACCTTACCCCCCTAATATAAAACTGGGTTGAGTTAGTCATCAGTCATCCACTTTGCATATACAACTTATTTAAAAATTGAAATGACCATTTTTAATCTTTCATAAAGTCTCAAAGATACCCTATAATTTCATGGGATAAAAATTTGATCCAAGCAGTAATACTTTTAAAGTAAGAAAAAGTTAAAATTTATTGAATTCAACCAAAGAAACACCCAAGAAAACAACATTGACCTTATTCTACTTTTGCTTGTTTGCTAATAGTATGTGTCACCTTTTGTTTAGGAGGATATATTACAGATAATTTAAGTTAATAATTACAACAACCAAAGTTAATTTTGAACTATAGGACATAAACCAGGTTATTAAGGTCAATAGTTGACATACCTGTAAAGCAATGCTCAAAGCCTCAGCCAGCAAACTGCATTCTTCACCACCTCCACCTTCAAATCTTAAGAATAATAGATCAGAGCATTAAAAAAAAAACCTTTAACAATGGGCAGTAAGCTAATTCATGTAATAAAAATTAAGGTCTTCAAACAATACTTATTTGCACCTTATATAGATTTAAACAATATAATTGATGTATATTAAACAAGTGAATAGTACTTTTTGCACATGCTGATTAATTATATTGGAAGTGAGCAGCTAGTACCACTCACTGTCAATCAGCTGAAGAGACAAAATTGCGTGTCAGGAGTTTTATTTCCAGCCATTTAATAATACAGAGAAATACAATATATTTTTTAGAATGTATGCCGAATTCTTCCACCTAGATGGTTGTGAAAGCGGTAAATATTTACCTCCACTTCAGTGGGTACTTATGAATAACTAACATTTCAAAGGTCAGGTAGAGAGAAGACATTATAGTTTTTACTCATGACAATAACTTAAGATCCAGAAAATGAAAAGCTGCACAACAATTAAATCATTTGCTCTTTGAAAACACAGAAAATTAGGAAAACTAATCACAGCTTTAGCTAAAATCTCATCATCATTTCAAATGCTTTCTTTTGTTTTTTTTGTTTTTTTCACAGAGAAAAACTCTTTTGGGAAAATAAGGATCAAAACAATCAAATTTTGAAGATTGTAGAAACTACTGTCTTAACAACAGCCTTTTTTTAAACATGGTATTAGATCTTACATTCCAGATAGCACTCAATTAAGTCCCAATGATCAGCTGTGTATTCTTATAGGTAAGCAAATTAAACAGATTTAAGATGTCTGCCAAAGTAAATTTCTAGATAAAGTATTCAAACACATAACCTCATCATTTCTCTATGCACATGAATGAGTTGGAAAACTGACCTCACATCATCTAGGTATTGCAGTATCTGTTTGGCACTGCGAGTTTCCTTGACATAGTGCACTGCTGGCTCAGGGGTATGGCCTATTGTCCCATACACCACCAAACCATATTGGTTTGGGCCATACTGAAAACAATGAAAATGGTTAACATGTAATCCATCAATATTGAAAAGGCAAATTCTAAAAGACTGATTGCACAACTTTTCAAAAGTTTCACAGTTTCTCTAGCATAAAGCAAATATGGATACGAGATTCAAGTCCATAATAGGTCACCCCATAGCAGTTTATCAAGTTCCTTGATAATTTTAGGGTATTACTAAATACTAATGGATAGAGAGGATATTATGGTGCAATGCTTTACACGAGAATAGAGAAAATTGACCAGACCGAGGTTTTAATCTTGACCGTTGGTTACGGTTGAGTGCACTCACTTTTAACAATTTGGCCAAACAGTCTGCTATAATCAGTAATCTGTACTTAATCTCAAGCACAATAATTTTGAATGATCCAGTCCTACAGCATCATGCACAATTTTACCTCATGGCCCAAGTCATTTATCAGGTATCCATGTAACATGTTACATACCTCATCTCCAAAGCTGTATTCAAAGTCCATTGGAACTTCTCCATTGAAATAACTATGAATATGATATCATTGTTATTAACTGTTCATAACATTCATTAATAAGGAAATATGTATCTATAGAATGAGATCTGAACTCTACAATATATACATAAGTATTATTGTAGGCTTTGAATTAGTCATTTTCTTACAAATTAACATGTTATATTAATTCACTTAATGCCCAAATTTCACTGACAGGATGAAGGAAAAATTATGTAATTATCAGCTTTAAAGAGGGAAAAATTTCTGCGCAACCCCATACAACATTATGCATTCAGTTCATGGATAGAGAAAACAATGACAAAAACAATACATTGCTATTGGAAAAACAGATTTCTTTTACAATAGTATGGGGCTGTGCAGAAATTTTACCTTAAAGTGTGTTGTGATAGACTACTGGGGAGCTTAGCTGTGGTTTCGCTGAAACGATCTATAGAAATCATTACAATTATAGTTACTAGAGGATCTTTCAAAATGCACTATCAAATATTGGCAGTTCTCAAGTCTCTTTTTTCAGAGGGTTGCTAGGTTTCAAACTTTAGCTTAAAAATCTACACAGAAACATCCTTAGTTTGATGCTCAAATATAAAATGTAATTTTCAGCACAAGCTTTTTTACTGTTCAGTTTTGATATTTTTGAGACCAAATAGAAAAAGAGCAAATCATTGTGCGTTACTGTTGTGTACATTCTGGGTCCAAATATATTGTTTTTAACTATCACGAGGGTCTTGAACGATAAAATAGTAAGACTACACATTATCAAATGACGGCTATAGTACGGCACACACAATCAAGATGAATAAATGATCGCCTAACTCGACAAAAGACTTAAAACTCGTCTATTTCTAAAATCATTCGCTGGATTTATAATGACAACAAATTAAAAAAAGCTTTGGTGTAACAACGAAATAGAATGTAAGAAAATAAACTCTCCTCTTTTCAATAAATTTGTGACGTATGTACAGTTGTCGATAGTTGTTCATTTTAACCATTCATTTTCCATACGTAAGTAAAACTGGAGTGCTTGTTGTACCAAGCTGAGTTTGTTCGATTAGAGAAAGAGGACGCACAGTCTCATATTTATTATGCATACGGTTCTTGTTTCTCGCTCCAAGAAGAAATAGTTGCCCGTTAGTCACTTTATACTTACTGTATTGCGGGTTCAATGTAGGATTTCTTCAGGTTTTCAAAGTCAAGAAGTAAATTCGCAGTCCCCTCCACAACAAATATAACATCGTTTTCGTATAAATCACCGGTAACCACCATTATTGTCAAGTTACTTTCAAAAAATGAACGGGAAGTTGATCATCCTTCCTCTATATCCTGCATCCTGTTTTTGGGAAACTCCCAAGCATGAGTAAAAGGATAATTTTAACCGAAGAATGACACAAATACGCGAAGAAGTGATAGCGGAAGACATAGAAGCTACTTTATCCTACACTCTTCCTCGCTCCCCCACTCCGCGCTCTAACCGTTCCTTCCTGCATTGGGTGAAGTACTGGGCACCAGATAGGTCTTCAGTACCCCCATGCAGAGGAAAGGTGTGGAGGCTCAAATGAGAACTCTTTCGTCCTTTTCTTAAGACAGACTTTCTTACTTACTTGAAAATTTTTTCAGGACCTCCGATTCGAACGTTTCAAAACTGTTATAGCACGAAAGCCCAAGACTCAGGACGTTTAGCCGGTTGGTTGTGCTTGATTGGGTATTTCTGCTCTCTTCATTCTCCTTCAAATTCTGATTAGGACGTTTCGTCTCTTTCTCCTGACCTGCCCGCCATTTCTTTTGTTGTTCTTTCGCGACTTTCCCGTCGATCAATTTGATATTAAGTTACTGCATTCAATTCAACTTTCTGCACTCAGTCTTAACTCTCTGCACTATTAAGTAATTATTGTACGAGGTTGAGCGTGGTATCATGAATTATCAATGCCGAGGTCTAAGTTATAGATCTGCTGAAGCCGAATTCGAAGGCTGAGTCAGACAACACAGACATAAAGTTTGATTATCCATGATATCATCTGACGAATTTCATAACTGACATTTTTAAACACCTGCAAAAGGAGATACCTGCCTAAGTCTGCAAAAGTTAGAGAACACCACGGACGAGGGTCTTGGAAACTAAACAGACTTTGAACTCGACATGATAACCTAATATCAGCTGTTGGTATGAGTTATCATCTCAACTTCACATGCTACTATATATTGATTGTATGCTCTCGACCAATGTATAATAATTGGGTTTAATGGACGTGTTCTCAATCAGTGAACAGGTTGAATTTTTTTGCATATATATCAGTACAAAAGAAAATATGAGAAAAGGCTGTTCACACAACATATCATTAGTTAAGAAAAGTTAAAATAATAAAGTAAATAAGGTATATTAAGTTTATGGCTATTTCTTGAACTCTCAGAGTGCTTCTTGTCACCAGGGACTATAGATGAGCGCCGGCAAACTGTTAAGAAGACTTGAAAAGGAGCTGGGAGTTACTCGGTATGGAGTAATATGGTAGCTTTCCTGTCCAGGAGGAGTAACTACACTCCATGCAGTGGCTTCATGTGACGGATACCAGGATCAGATCTGGCAGCAAAGAGCCATCAGGTTCGCAAGACTTAACAACTTGTTCTGTAATAAACAGTGTGCGTTTTAATCCGAAACACGATTAGAGTTCAGTTTGTGTACTGATCCAGGGAAGATTCAAGATGTACCACGACGTTTAGTGATAAATTTGGAAGATATAATACTCTTAAGTTTTATCATGAATTTAATTTGTGGACATAGAGGACCGTTGCGTACACAAGACAGAGCAACAAAAATGACTCAGAATCGTGTGCGATTCCTGACCTATGCTCAAACTCGGAGAAATATGGCTAAAATGATGATGATTATGATGATGACGATGATGGCATCGAATTTGACTTGAGGAAGGCACGTCATTTGAAGTCGTGTCCTCAGAGATCAGCCTTTTGTACTGAAGCTCTCAACACTCCAAGTCTCACTCTCCCCAACTCCCCTGTCTGCCAGTGGTCCCGGGCACAAAGTGACGAACAAGCTTCTCTTGGTAAATATTTAATTTAATAAAGTATTGAATAGCTAATTGTTTGCATATATCGATGATGTTGTTATTGTAGACATCGCAACAGTTCGGCAAATAATTAAGTTTATTCACTCGTGCTCTGGTATTCATGGTAGTGGTAGGTTCATGGTAGCTGTTAGCCGTAAACCATTCATTAGTATTCCACCAAGCGGATCATACACGAGGAGAGAATGATCCCAGTTAACTGCAATGAGAAAGAAAACAAGAAAACAAGAAAACAAAACGAAACAAAACAGGTAAGCCAGTGAGAGGTACGATGATGCCTAATTCTAGCACGTTACACTTGGATTTTCTAGTTTCAACCCCGAGCCACGTAATTCGTGCCCCCTCCCTCCACCTTCTGAGAGTAGAAGTACACAGGAGCCCCGCTATAGGTAAAGCACTCGGCCTTTATCAGTTTCCTCATGTTTAGAAACCGTGATGAAATACTCGCCCTCGTTTATGAAAAAATTTCCTCGTTGTCAAGTTATACCAGAATAGGTAAAGTTATTTACAAGTGAATGCTTTCCTGATTACCTGGACAGCGCTTAGAACCAATGCTATGAATCCCAGAATAAACACATGCTCCCGAAAAAACTCGCTTAACTTTAAAATGCAACCCTGTAAGCGAAAGAAACGACAAACCTTGTTAGTTATAACAGAGAGGATATACCTATAGTATACGTGGATTCAGCTTTTGCAAGCGAAGAGAACCAAAATTTTTTTTTGACAGTCGAACAGAGATACCCAAGAACCAATTGGGAAATCAGAGTGTGAAATCAGAAAACGATAGTACAGCAACAAAAATTTGTATTTCTAATTGTTTTCAAGGGACTGCGAAATTATTTTATATCATTATCCTTTCTATTGTACTACTATTGTGATGTTCTGTTTCTATTCAGTTAAGTTTGCGTTTTATGGATGAGGTAATGTAAGAATAACGTAACTCCAATGGCGATTTATTTCTTGTCAGTATGCTGGTTGTTTTCGTTACATAATTCTCATTACCAGTTGATTTCAACATAGTCTTTCGTTAGTTTTTGCCAGCGCCGTGTTGCTTTTGTTTAAGAGCTTTGCTATCGGACCTGGTTACGCCACAAATTGTAAGTTCGTTTCTATTTCATGAAGCTTTGTCGCTTTTCTTGTTTTCGTTACATTTGTACTTAGATATTTGCATTAATTATTTATTTTCAGTCAAATCACATCTACAAATCTTTACATCTAAATATTCGTCTACACGGCGAATATGTGCATTCATTTTGTGGCGTTGAACGTGTAGTATTTATCTACAGGCAATAAACTTCCATAAAATTTGATTAGTAGGCTAAAACTTATCGGCTGGCAAGACAATACCAGTGATGGTATAGTACCTCATGGTATATATTAGAGGGGTGGTCCCTCTTTCCACAGGCAGGTGTAATTGTCTTGCAACACGAATCTGGCACTGACAAATTCTGGTTTTCAGTCATTTGTTTCCAAGCTGTGTTGTTCCACGTCGAATAGCTGCTACTACCACAACACATATGCTGAAGAAAGGATACTAAAAAATCATCGGCTAACGGCACACACAAAAAGTTAATATCACTTGGGTAACGCCACTGTTAACCTGAACCAAAGATGTAGAAAAAGTTCATAGAAAATGGAAAGTCGTAATTTTGAAGCTTATTGGTCGAAAAATGACACTATTCCCTGGATTTTGACTGAAATTTAAGTTCACCACTGTATAACCGTTCTTCTTTTTCACAGTGCGATGAGCTTTTGACTTCTCTGATCCTCAGCGGCAAACCTGGCCCGTGTCAGTCATGCTAAGGACTATCTCACACGGTGTCCAATGTAACTCGGGATTACATGCAAACTACGTTTTACAATCGGTCTTGAAAACTCATGTCATCTTATTGACCAATCAGAAGCAAAACTGAAACTGTCGTGATCTGTCCACTCTCTCTTTGCGCGCTTGAGGCAGCTATATTTATTGATTTGCCTTAGGTTCTCATCGGCTCCTTATGAAATCTTTGTCCGGTATCATTTTTTTTTTCCAAGAGGCGACAAATGAATTTAACTATATCTTTTCCCTCGACCTGTGCTGATAACTAAAATATTGATCTTCCTTACCCTTTGTTGAAGATCGTCAAAGGAATCCCTTACAGCATCTGAGGTTCCATACTCATTCATTCGATCAAGCGCGGATTTATCTAAATTCTCTTCAATCTGGCAAAAACAGAAAACAACACAAATATTAAAAAATTATAAGAATATAAATTCAGATTTCTTTCTTGTCAAAACCTATTTAAAAAGTGGCCGATTAGCAGTGGTTTTCCAATGACTGTAAGTAACAATATTTTTTCGCTGAATCCGCATGTAACTGTGACACCGTGTTGCCTTCGTCAATAATAGCATGCCAGCTTACATTGTCAGATAAAGCAGCCTGGAGATTTTGGGCCGTAAAATTTGCCTGCAAATTTGTTTGATTCCAACGAAATAAGTCGAGACCCTTAGATCGAAAAAGAGAGAGAGATGGACATAAACTGGCATTAGAGGTCAAAATACTGAACAGTTATAATCATTGAAATTGCGGATAAGCACAACTGTACTTACATAAGATCGGTGTACGAATGCTGCAACTCCGATTGAACATTCGATTATAAAGATCAACGTCAACAAGATCAGAAACTGTAAAAGAGATTAAAACTTTACAACTGGGAATAGCAATAGCTAATGCAGGCGAACCAAGTATAGAGTAATATTGGTACTCAAATTCAGTGTATGGAGACCTAAGGACAGTCAATATTAGGTGTAATAGTGTAGTTTGATCGTCCGGGTGAGTGAAGTTCCGAGAACGACTGTTGTCCGTAGTGGTGACTGACGTTTCGACAACCTGAGCGGAAGTCATCATCAAAGTGATGAGGACCTCTGAGGATGACTTTTGGTGATGACTTCCGTTCAGGTTGTCGAAACGTCAATCACCCTTCTTAGGACTACAATCACCCGGACGATCAAAATACACTATCTTACTCCCGGGTTTAACCATTTACTGTAGTCAATATCAGGGAATTTAAGAAAACCAAGACGGAAACGGCCACGGAAACTTCACTAAACAAAAGGTTCAATAAGCAGAACAATAACTGTGCACGTGCATCATAAATCTTCGCAAATTTTTTTGCGTCCTCTGCAAAAAAAAAATGACCAAACTTTGCGTTGTCTAGAGAATGTGAACGACGACGGCTTTTTTCAAAATTTCTCTTTCTAACGTAACGTTGTACGTGTTCCATATTCAGTTTCGAGTTAGTTTTGACATTGAGAAACAAACTAAATGACTTAAGAGTATCGCGAGATTCGTAGGTAAAATGCAAGTTCATTTTTTAATTGACGTTGTCCTCGGTGTCGCCGTCGTCGTTTCTTAAACTCCCTATTTCAGACAACGACGGGGTATTCAACTGTCTATTGAAAAACGGATTTAAATGACGTACACAACGCGAAACGTAGGCCTTCGAATTGTAGTGTACGCATGTCTGTTTCAGCCTGGCTGGCAAGAGGTCTACCAGATCTCTCACCAGCTCACTTTACTCAGGGCCAAAAACTTTCTCGCGGGCGAAGATACGCTCGTGTAGCGACAAACTTGCTCGTTTGGGTCTATTAATGAGCGATTCAGTTCACACTCGTGTGGCATCTCATTTGCTTTACGAACCCAACAAACTTGAGTGAAAATAGTCATCACATTTTAGCCTTAATCAGGGTCACTGTGTTTTGGAGGAAGACGCTGTACTCTAAATAGACCTTCATCCACCCTGGTGTGTAGGAGAGGACCAGCTACAGTGAGCTGTCAAGACAATCACACAAACGGCTGGGGTTACCTGCAATCAACTAGCATCGCCTCTTAGAAGCGTAGGGGTACTCTTAGTCCCTTCATGCCACAGAAAATGGCAAGAGGAGCTCAAGGAAATACGCCAGTCAGTCCGTGGTATGCAGACTGAACACATTGTAATATTCTATAAATATATGTCAGCAGATTTAGAAATGCTACTTACCGAAATAAGCGAATATCTGTGTTCTTTGACAATCCCATAGCAGCCACAGATGCATACAATCATGATGAGACCTCCAGTACCAATCATAAGACCTACTATTATTAGAAACCACGAGCTTCCCAGAAGTACATTGTACCGGCTCTCAAACAACAGTGTCCAGGCTCCCACTACCACCAGGGCCACGCCACTCAACTGAGAGATTGAATTTTCATACATACTTACACTTTTGAGCATCCATAAAGAGTGTTTTGTATTAATTTACAGAAGATGGAATATAAATGCGGTCAGTTTGTCTTGTAGACCAAGTACAAAATTTTTCAGATAAATACAGTCGAACCTGTTTTAAGCAGTCAGCCGGAGAATGGAGGGATGACCGCTAAAAACAGGTTGACCGTTGAAAACAGGTTCCACAGAATACGGTATAATAAAAAACAAGAAAACACCATTTGATGCCATATTGGCCACTTAATGTACAAAAACTCGCTCAAAAATACCACTAACATTGATTTCGGGAGAGAAAAACGGATTAAATTGTACTTGAAAGATTAATTTTATTTGATTGTTCCGTTTAAGGGACCGTGCAGTACAGTTGGAAAACGATGCAAACAGGCCGTTGGGACTCAGTAAAGGGTGATCATGATCGCTCAATTAAATGTGACCGCTGGATACAGGAAACATTTCGGGACTTTGACAGTCATCCGCTTAATACAGTTTCGACTGTAGCAAGGAAATGAGACTTTTGTGCATCGTAATTGCATCATTGACCATTTCAGGTCCAAATATGGTCGTTTTGTTTCACGTCATTCCATAGACTGAACCGGAAAGCAAAATCTTTACGATGTCAACCATAAACGTCTAGTTTTCTAGTTTTCTTAGTTCGAGTGGTGGTTTGTTAAGTTCTCCGTTTTCCCTTATTACTGTTGTCATAATATAAAAAAAATCCAATTTATTCACCAAGAAATATGATCGAATTCGGTCAGAAGTTTTATTATGGGGTCTTGTCAAGCAGACAAGACGTTTAAAATTGTCCTACTTTGAGCCTTGTCACACCCATTTTATCCGCGGTGACTTTAACTTAATTTGCCGGTTTTCAACTGGCCGCGAAAATAAACATCTTACGTCTTTTAATTAGATGAGACAACGAAATTAATTATGTGGTAATCAAGAGGAAGAATTAGAATGAAAACACAAGCGTGTATAACAGAACTTCTACTCTAAGTTTACGTAGAGATGTAAAATAATTAAGCTCTACAAATGATTTAACTTTGAGAGAGGGCTGTCTAGTTATTCATTTCTAAAAGTTGCTGTATATACGGTTAAAACTAAGGAGCATTTCAGTTTTCTAAGATTAGCCACTGTCGGAAATTCTTTGTATATCAAATTGTCCTGAACATATAACAAAGCACATCCTCATTAGTTTACAAATTTCTCTGGTGCATTTTAGCTCTTTTCATAATCATAGTCGGACAACTAAATGGACCGGAGACGTGTTATGACTGGCGAACTCTTGACATCCATGAAGAATGTATAACTTTAGCCAGATTGTTTAGCTGGACTACAATACTAAGGAAATTCAATTAAAAGATCTTGACAAAGGTCATGTCTCGATTCAGAAATATTTCTCTTGAATTCGGTTTCATAGCACAGGGTGAACTTTACCTTGAACAAAATTTCGGTATGATTTGGGGAAAATTTCCAGTCCAGCTTTTCTATTTTACATTTTTTTTTCTATTTTTTTAAAATTCGATTTGAACATCAAACCTTTCTGACCATTTCACTCTTCGAAAAAGAGGTTCATCAACCGTGAAGTAAAGATAGACGGACAACCTTACAAAGAATCGCCTCTCCTTGCGAGAAAACATGCAATTCTCTCCGCACCGTGAAAGGATAAAAGTTCGCAACAGGTTCAACAAAAGTGAAGTAAAAATATGGCGGATAGACTTAAAAGGAATCACCTCTCCTTGCAAGACAACACATGTAATTCTGTCCACCGTGAGAGGATAAAAGTTCGCGGAAGTGAATTTCTGCTACTCGAACGAAGAAACACTAATCTTACAAGGATCGATATTTGTCTCAAGACTTTTGGAGCCGACGGTTTCCGGTGCTTGTTAATACGGAAAGTGTAATATTTCCATCGTCTGACGACAAGATACTTAGAGGCGAATGATTTATCAACACCCATGATAAACACAAACAGTACATCATACCATCACGCAATTAGAACTCCTTAGCTTATCGTGTACAATAACAATTTTGCTACAATTTAGGAAAACATCGACGTCAAAAAAGGAAAAGAAAGAAAGAAATCAGAGAATGAGTTATATCACATACTCAGCACAAAACAACCAGATTGAAATACGCTTCCTGTGGGCGTTGAAATCATGTTTGTAAGCTAGGAAGGTGGAAACATGATTCATGCAAGGAATTTCAAGTATTGCCGTATGGAACATTAAGTTTTTTCCATCCAAGTGGTACATTAACATTAGGATATTCTAATGAGCTGGACAACAAAGCTTGGAATATTTCACGTAACCTATAGAAGTTCTTAGCCTCCAAATCATCAAAACAAACACGAGCTAATAACTTCATTAATAGCTAAACGAGTGCGGGTGGATAACGAAGTAATAGTAATCAAACATCTGGCGGGACAGCAGCCGATTTAGAAGTTACAGATTTGCCATCTATAATTTATTTTTTTTATTATTTGAAATTCTGTCGGGGTTTTTCCGCAGGAATCGCACAAAGCGGACCATTGGTGCCTGTTTACTGATTTAGAATGAATCGCATTCGTGTCCGATAGTCATGATAAGTGCTGCAATGCTCTTAAAGCTTAACTTACCCAATAAAAGAATGTAAACAAATGCATGGGCGCTTTAAGACACCGTACACTACAGCATCTCCTTCTTTTCCTGTTCTGCAACTCAATATTCCTCCAGTCTGAGAAGTCAGCAGGCACCATCGTCAAACCGAACTAAGAGAAGTACAACTTCTCTGGTATGGCACCGGCGAAAGACACGATGGGTCGATCTCGAGTTCAGAATGTTTGCAGAAATATAAACCCACATTGAAGTCACGGGAAATAAGCGATTAGATGACAATTGAGAGGACGTGAATGAATTAATAGGGTGGAGATTTACTATTTTGCGAATTTGTAGTAAGGTAAGAAACCAGAATGATTTTCAATTATGTCCAAAGAAAACTACTGAAATGAACTTGGAAGTGAAGTGAACTTGGAAGTGAAGGACATGAACACTGATTGTAAACAATGTTTGCGACCAGAAGCGAAAAAAGGTATGCTAAGAATGCCTGCTCTTAATATCGATCAAAATACAATATCTCCCCTTATTCAATTGGCGTTCATGACTGCTTATAAAACAAGTGGAGAGCTTTGATACCTAATAATCCTCTTTGAATATCTTAATGAAAGGATAACAAATCTCTGACTGACATCATCTGTTTTGCTGTCCCGGTATGTAGGTTATGTGTCTTGGAAGGAAAATGAAGGGAAAAATGCCTGTCATTTTTTAGTCCTATTTAAAACGTCTCTGTCACGCTTTGCTCCCCCGAGTAGGAAACCGATAAATTCAAAATCGGAAAACCGTTTAATAAATCCATGACAATCAATAATTCCAAATAGGACGTAACCGAACAATCCATTAGAATTGCCCTGAATACTCAAGAGTTGACGTGTAGCTCCTACCTTGTGTCTCGTATATAATTCATCTCTGAGTTGTCCTCGCATTTTTTTTTTGTTTTCTTTTTATGTCCAAAGTACCTTAAGATACACCTATAGTTTAGTTGAGACCAAAATTTACAGCGTTAAACAAATCTGAACCTCTGTGTAAATAATAAACTCATAGAGGCAGAATGGTCTCTATCATAAATATATATAAATAAATAAATTTAATTCTTATATAGCGCAAAATTCATTATAAGTGTATGATCTAATGCGTTTTACAATAAATTAAAAAATATCTAAAGAAACCGCAGAATATGATAGTTAGATTACAAAATGAAAACAAAATTATATTTAACAATAAATTAAAAAGAGATAAAAAATCTATATAGTACATAGTCTAAAAATGTTCACACCATTAACAGTATGCTTGTTTAAAAAGATACATTTTCAGTTGTTTCTTAAAAATATTTACACTACTTACAGCTCTTAGACTTTCCGGAAGAGGGTTCCATAAAAATGGGGCAGCTACCGAAAAAGCTCTGTCCCCAGTGGTCTTGGCAGATCTAATTGCCGGGCGAGCTAATAAATAACTAAAATTTGATCTTAAATTATAATTAGAATCGCCTTTGAATAACATAATATCACTAAGATATGCTGGCGCTAGGCCATGGAGAGCTTTGAAAGTCAACAAATTTACCTTGAAAATGATCCTAAATTTAACTGGCAGCCAATGGAGATTAATCATCACAGGTGTAATGTGCGAATAAAGGGGTGTATTGGTCAGTAACCTGGCGGCAGCGTTTTGAACGCGTTGTAACCTATTAACGTGTATAGCAGGCAAACCATATATTTTTGCATTACATTAGTCGATTCTGCTTATATCAAAAGCTTGCTCTAATGACTTTGCAGCTTCAAAAGGCAGATATTTTCTTATACGCCTTATGTTATATAGCGAAAAGAAAGCTGATTGACATGTTTTGTTTATGTGGCTGCGAAACTGGAAATTAGAATCGAACCAGACACCTAAATTCCTGGCTTCACTGACTGATTTTACTTGCGTGTCACCAACCATAAGGCTGTCATTTCTAACTTTGCTAAGTTGCTGGCGAGTTCCAATAAGCATAAATTCAGACTTATCTTCATTCAGCCATAATTTATCAACAATCAGCCACGCCCTTACGGCCCTGATACATCTTTCCATAGCACCTCTTGCTTCCGTCTCACCCATTGAACTGTCTGGCTTGAATGACAAATAAAGCTGAGTGTCGTCAGCGTACGCATGAGCATTATGCAAATGGTTCTTGATAACCTGGAACAGCTTGCTCGCATAAGCAGAGAACAGAAGTGGTCCGAGGCATGACCCTTTAGGAACTCCAAATGACAAATCAAATTTATCAGACAGTACACCATTAATCATGACACGTTGAGATCGAGCTGACAGGTAGGAGGCGATCCATTTGAGCGCATCTCCAGTAACACCAAATGATGTCTCGAGACGGCGTAAGAGGATGATATGGTCGACCGTATCAAACGCAGCGCTAAGGTCAAGTAATACAAGCAAAGACACATGTTGACGATTCATGTCAAGTAAGATGTCATTTACTATCTTAACCAGCGCCGTCTCAGTGCTATGTGATTTCCTGTAAGCTGACATGGGCGTATAATTGGCTGCTCTTTCAGTAATCTTGGACACAAATTGGAGATTACTAACCGGACGCAGGTTCTTGTAAGCGAAATCAATAGTGCCCTTCTTGAACAAAGGGTTTATGATAGCTTCCTTCCAATTGTCAGGAAAATGACCAGTGGACAGAGATGCATTCACCATATTTGTGATCACCGGAAGCAGAACATTTAATGAATCACAGACCACATTAGTTGGAAATGGGTCTAATAAGCACGACTTTTTGGCAGAGGCTCTAATGAGCTCGCATACATTTCGCTCACTAAGGTTGCCACAAGAGCGCAGTACTTCGTCAGTGATATCCGAGGCCTCCCCGTCCGGCGGGACAAGATTACGATCAGCAGAACTCAAGCAGATGGAATCAGTATCCTGACTAATGTGCTCTACCTTGCGCACAAAGAATTCGCCGACATCATTTGCAAGCACAGTCTTGTCAAGAAGGACTGGAAAGTTCAAAAAATCAGATGTGCCAAGTAGCTTTTTGGCTGCGCAGAAAAGCTTTCTCTGATCGGTTCCATTATCCTATAAAAATTTGGAATAAAACTCTTCCCTTGTCTTGTTCATGAGATTAGTAACCTTATTCCTCTTCCGCTCGAGGTCAGCAAAATCCATAGGCAGCCGCGTTCTTCCCCATTTTCTTTCAGCTTTCCGGAGTGAGCGCTTAGCATCATTAATTTCATTGCTATACCAAGGGACCACAGGCCTGCTAACCCTAGTGCGAGTCCTAAGCGGAGCATGCTTGTCTAGGAGAGCAGAAAGGGTGCTGTTGTACGAGTTTACATACGCCTCTAATTCATTAGCAGTAGTTGGTTTTACTGCTGCGCACGGCTCGGTAGACGGCATATCTCTTTTAAGTTGCTCCATACTAATTTACTTTATTTTCCTGTAGCTGGAAGTCTTCACGGAAAGAGCGGGTCTCGGTGGTGTGAGCCAACACAGGACAGCAGCACGATCAGAGATAAACTAATCTATTACAGGCGTGTGCGAGATCAGGCATTCAGACATGCGTGTTATAATAAAATCAAGAGTGTGTCATCGCGATGGGTGGGCTTATCAACATGCTGCTCCGGACCCAGGCCCTTTCCGTGCATCAGAGTCTTGAGGATCGTTTACGTGGATGTTGAAATCGCCCATTATAAGCAATTTTTCCTTGCATAATAGTAGAGACTCAAGGTATTCAGGAAATTCGGCGAGAAACACATCAACGGGAACACGGTGCTCCTCTGAGTAAGGCGGTCTGTAGACAATCACAAGCCGTATGTTATGTGGGGAAGATCTTACAATCCACTCGGAGAATTCAAAAGAGTCGTGTTCACTAGCTCCAGCATTAACCTTAGAAACACCGAATGAGTCACGATAGATGAGCCCAGTCCCCCTCCGCGGTGATCAAGTCTTGAATGGTCAACAATGCAATAGCCATTAGGACATAGCTCAAACCTAACATCCGAGTCATTCCGTGTCAGCCAGTGTTCAGTAATGGCGACTAAATCGACTTTGCGATCAACTATAAAATCAAGAATCCGTGCTGTTTTATTTCTGACAGAATGAGCATTGAGGTTGCATAACAGCATCTGCTGGTACAATCTTATGTCCATTCTGGTAGGACGTATTTCAATCAAATTTCTAGTGTCCCTATCCGCTCGAAGTTCTTGATAAGCACGCTGCGATACAGTCACCGCTATTGGGTTTCCAGTGTTGGGAAGAGCCGTCGTGGTGTCACTCTGCCATTGTCTGGAAACAATTGAACAAGAGCCATTAAGATCTCAGTATGAATTTAAGTCGTATTCTTTTATCGAAAATTCTCTAATCTTCAGAATAGGCTTTCCGGATTCAAATGTTTTCGGATTCGAAGTTTCAACTTTAAATTTCGAATTCATAATCTCCGGAGACACGACCAAAGAGGGGAGGTTTCATTTCGGATTCGTCTTTTTGTGTGTAAACAGCGAACAAGAGAGGGTGTCCGCTTACGGAATAAGTAAATACAGAGATTGACTGGTAGGCATAAAAGTGTCCATCGGTAAAACTGTGCGCTCACGGGAGTGTCCATTGTTAAGCCAAAATGTCACGCTAGTACATTTACATCGGATTTTATTGCAGTGGTGGAAAACTAAAATGATAAAATCGAATACTAAGTAAACGAAACGACCGATCAGAAGGAAAACGAAAACGAAAATAGCACTGAAAATAACGAAAATTTACGTTAATTATTCAACTCCTACCGGGCCAAATACAAAGTTTCCCTAAGATCTAATACTCTGTAAAATCCTTCTCTCCACGTCTTTCTGCTGTCTACAACTATATGCGAAAATTGATACTTATATTCTTAAACTGAGATAAAATTTTAAAACTTTTCAGTTTTAAAATATAACGTTCGAGTGAGACTCACGTGACAATTTTAGATGGTTCGTTTCGTTTGCTTTCTCTTCTTTTGGTTTCCTTTCGTTTCGTTTCGTTTCTTTTCGTTTCACAAAGTGCTGATTCGTCAGCCCGCAAGGGGCAAATCACCTTCGTCAAAGAAAACAATTTCCACCGAAATCTTAATAAAAATATCATCATTTCTGATTCGATGCGGCAGCCTTATTTCTTCGCTAACTTGTCTCACTTGTGTAAAAAAAAGTAGAAAAGAAAAAAATCGAAATCATCACGAATTTCAAAGAAAATTGCGAATTCTTACCTGCTTACATTAAAAGTAAAAAATTAATATCTTGTCCACCAGTTTTGAAAAAACAGTCGAACCTGTATTGAGGGGGTGGGTGACCGCCTAAAACAGGTTTGACTGTATCGAGATCCAGTCTCGCTCAGGTCTATAGGAGCGAGCTATTTGGGGACTACTGGTTTTCTGCGTCGCTACGTGGAAGCAACGATCCAAAGAATGATTTGATTGTCGTAAGCACAGGAATGACTCTCTCGCCCTTTGTGTTGCTCAGGAGTTGCTCCTCTCTTCGATTTTGTTGGCGGCGATGTTTCCGAGTTGTTGTAGGTTTAATTGTGGTATGTGTGCTTGGGTTGATGTATCTTACGATAAATGCTCTACGAGACAACTTCCACATCAAGACACTTAAAGTACATAAAGGTTGCAAGCACGAGGCAAATTGTGGAACGAAATCAACTGGCTTCTATAACGCAACAAGAACAAATACATTTACAAGCAAGGGTAGTATCGAGAATCAACATTTAGCAGTTAAGGCAGGTTATTTGAATGTCCACACATGGTTTGGAATATGTGGAACAGCAGTTGATAATTTGAGACTGTGGCCTCATTTTCCATATCTGCCGGATAAGCGTTCCTCTATTTGGGGATTTCAAAGAACTCAAGATCATGCTACGGACAGTAATGGCGAAAGAATTTTTGGATTAGTCCACCCGCAAAGAGATGGTATGTACCAATTTGCCATTACTTCAGATGATGCGTCGGAGTTATGGTTGAGCTGCAATGAAAGTGTTGCATTTAGTGAAAGAATCGCCCGTGTTTACTCTCCTAGTGAGTCTGCCTGGACTGAAGAAGGAGACTACCAGAAATATCCTGAACAAATATCTAAAAAGATTACCCTTCAAGCCAATAAGAGATATTACATCGAGACTTTGAGTAAGCAAGGTTCAGGTGCAGCTCATGTGGCTGTATATTGGTCCTTCAATTCTTCAAAGTTTGAAATAATATCTTCAATGTTCTTGTCCAATTATTCCGAAAGTAAGAATCATGAATCTATTCCCCCGCACGTAGGAAAACAAGGGGTTATCTCAATTCAAGGCATACAAGACTGGATTCAAGAGAAAGGCAATTTATTTCATTTCAATCGTCTCCCACTATTAGATAGAAAATTATACACTAGTTATATTCTAACATGTCCTTACAGTCCGAGCTTTCTGGTGCGAAGAAAACTCCAGCCACAAGAGGCTGCGTGGAAATGGATGGCAAATGAATCATATGTTTACCCAAAAGATGATACTGACATGATCACGAGTATTTTTCAATCATACTGGAGCAAGCCTAATCCACTGATTGATGAGAGCAGAGTTGAATCGGTCGTCAACAAGTTTATGACGATGGGTTCCTTGCACTCAAGGTACTATTTATTCTGATTCCTTCATCAGCCGTTCAGTAAACAAACATATTTCCGCAGATTTATAACCAATCCTTCGAACAATCTTTCGTTTATTTACGGCTGACTTGAGAAAAAATGTCCTTCAATCAGATTCCGCCCCAAACGATGATTAACGAGGAAACTCAGTTACAAATTAACAGAGCGTCATTGAATAATTTTGAAAAGTGTCAATTTTCATTTAAAATTATTCAATGTTAAAACTGTCTGTCATCGTGCCGATCTGAATTCATTATTTCTTCTCAGAGATGAGATAATAAGGTATCAGTGTAACCCAAAATAGGTCATTTCAGGCAAGAAAAATTGTCTTTACTTTCGGAATGATCTCTCACGACAGGAAAAGAGTTATTCTGAGAAACGTCTACATCGTACTAGCTCTAATTATCAACGAAGCGGCACCTACATTGTTTTTAGGACGCCGATAAGTCTGCATAGGGCCTACCGCTAAAGAAAAGAGTTAATTTAAGAAACGTCATCAACATACAAGCTCTAAATATCAACTGGCTTGAGGCACCTACATTTTCGTTTTAGGCGACGATAAATTCTAGTTATTTTTCGCTAACGTTTGACAGGGCTAATTAACACGGTGATGAGTAGATCAAGGTTTCTAATCTTATATTTTTCTTTAGAGACTATTTTTTGAAAAAAATTCACAAAGTCATTCAGAAGCCTGACCCCAAGAACGGTGATCGCTTCTTACTCAACCTGGAACTTGGCTTGAACAACACCAATCAAACTTTTCGGTTGTCAGAGCACGTTTACCAACCAAAAGGAAAAGACAACTTGTGCCTTCCTGATGGAATGAATTGGAATAATAGCGCCAAGGTCTACTTCATTCTACCTGTGAAAGATCAAGGAAACTGGGTGCAACATTTTATCAATCAACTTACTGACGCCAGTTTATTAACCAATGACACGAATTTTCACGTAATGGTGATTGACTTTGAGAGTAAAGACATCGATATGGCTAAGGCATTCAACACATCTTTACTCAGCAGCAGACATAATATTATTTCACTGACTGGTAAATTCTACAAAACACTTGCATTAAACAAGGCAGTGCAGCTTGTTCCTCATGCTCATGATATAATTTTCCTAATCGATCTTCATGTTGATGTTCCAGCAGACATCATGGATAGCGTGCGCATGGTAAGGATTTCACACATTGATGTTGTAGAATACATTCGAAAAAGTTGAGTATTCCGATTCTGTAACATTCATTAGTAATCAGGGACACGAACATTTATTGCCCAAGGGAATTTATAAGGATTCAATGTGAGTAAGCACCCATTTCAGACCCATATAATAGAGTGAGCTTAAGATTACAAGAATTACATGGCTTTTTTAGGGAATAGTAAAAAGCCAATCAACAATCGTATGGATAAATTGAAAAACTTTTACGATCCTGAGAAATAAAAAACGTTTTTGCCCAGTATGCTCCTCAACTAGTTTGGTGGTTAGAGTGAGTAATGTTCAGCAAAGCTAGCTTGCTGCAAAAATAAAATGCATTCATGGCTAGGCGGCGAAGCACAAGAAGGCCTGCAAAGCTCCCACGCGCACCACTTGGCGGAATGATATGTATTGTTCGACTTGTTGAGAACATGTACCTTCTTGTGCATTGCCCATTTGGTAAATTTGATCTCGGGCATGTGTTCAAAGCATTGCTCTTATCAAAACAGAACAGTTTGCAACATCTAATCCCTGGTTTCGTTCTTTATGGAAAGATTTGCTGACCACGAGCTTAGTCCCACGTAATGCGAACGTCCTTTGCCGAGCCCTTAAGGAGATTTCTGAGCTTGTGAAGAAGGTCGGGTAGGATTCCAAATCATGCCTTTTTATTCCTTTTAGAACACCATCGCAGGCCGGATGACTTACTTTCCTGTTGTTGGTCGACTTGATTGCGATAGTTCTTCTATAGAACACCGAGGCTTTTGGCAGATGAATGGCTACGGAATTATGGCCATATACAAGTCAGACTGGGACAAATTTGGGGGTGAGTTTCAGGATTTACAGTTTGTTGCATGTTGAAGGCAGATACATGAAACTGTTTGGTCAATAGATTTCTTTGTCTTCTTTGGTAATTGCACCCCCTTTTCTCAAGGTCTGGTTAAGATTCAAATTCACTTTTTGCGCTGTTAATGTTCCCGCTAACTTCTCAATTGGTTTTATTCATCGATCACACATCATCACCCTTAGGAATGAATACAAGGGACTACAAATACCGCTGGGGTGGAGAGGACTGGGACCTACTTAACCGCGTTATGATGTTACCTGTAGAAGTGGAACGGAAAAGGCATCCAGGACTTTATCATCATTATCATGCCAAGCAGAGACAGTGGAACTAGCTTGGTAACTACTGACGCACACTACTCAGCATAAGTAGCAAGGAAAACAGTATTCAGCGGGAGTCGTGGGAGGCTCTCTGATGGCACGTTCAAGAGGTTCGCGTGGCATCATGAGAGTTTTGAATAATTTTAAGTGTTTCGCAAGAAAATTAATTCATTCTAGGTCGGTCAGTCTTAAGATTCACCACTTTCTTTTTTGTATTGGTTGTAATTTTGGTATTCCAACTCCCCGTAAAATATCATTACAATCATTGATTTTTCTTTGTGGTTAGTAGTGCAATCAGGTTAGCTTATATTCTTTCTTCAGGGTACTGTGCTGCAGCATTAGATGAGGAATAGGTTTTCACACATTTTTCGGCCATATCTAAAGAGTGGTTTTTGTTAGTGGTTTTTCGTATCTGGCGTAGCACAGGTTCTTTTTGTAGAACCCCCAGTTTCAGGTGGTCTCTTGCCATTGCTTTATTAAGATTATATCAGGATGCGTATGCTAGAAGACTGACTGACTCATCCTAAATAAACTTTTCAAATTGAATCTCGTGTGTGCGTGTGGTCAGAATTGGAAAACTCTCTCTCATGATCGTCTACGTACCCCCACAGATCTCCATGCGTACAGCCCATACATCCTGCATCACACAGGTCACCTTATATATTACACGATGTTGGTTTAAGAACGAGAGCCTAGCTTCTCACAGTTTGAAATTTGAAAAGATTTCAAAAGATTTCAAAAGATTGTTAAAAAGCTAAAAGAAAGGGGGAAAAGTGAAAAAAAAATGTATGTATGAATAAACTAAGTTAAAAAATTCTGAGGTTATTAAACATATTTATCACCTGAAAAAAAAATTATATTAAAACTGTCAATTAAAGAACTTTATCTTAGTTTGAGTGGGATAGAGTTTCATAGTCTTCTCTCTCCACAAGTCTTTAGTCTCGGAGTCGCCAAAAGGTGTAGAGAAGACGATCTTAGTGCCCGTTTACATTTACATTTACATGTATTGGGTCAGTAAAATCGTTAAGATATCATATAAAATCGTTTAGAGGTGCGATAATTTAGTAAGTCACTGATGAAGCACGGCACTGCTACGATGATTTACGAGCAAACAACTGGGGAAAAATAGAAATTTATTCGTTGATCACGGGATCTGACTCAGAGTGTATAAGCATTATCAACTTTTTTATACAAGAAAGCATCAAAGAAAAACAAATTTATAGATCCAATTAAAAAATAACAAACAAAACAATTTACACAAAATATTCATCGCAACATTTCTATGCACCATTTTACAAACTCATTTAAACTTTACACTAAATTTAACCTAGGCCGAAATCTAAAGAAGGAAACCAACTTTCTTTTTAGCCATAAAATTGCATTGTTAGCCATAAAATTGCATTGTGAATCATCCACATACACCTCTCCTGACTGCTACCCTCAAAAGGCACCTTAAAAACTCTCTACAAGATACAACCATGTTTCAAACTACCAGCTATACTTAATATGCCATACATCTGTAAACACGCGAGTGGGTGAACTTCGCTGTTCCTGCCGTGATGTCAAAGTTGCTGTGTATGATGAGCATTTGCTGAGGTCAACAGAAAGTGCCCGGAACAAAACACGGCTCGTTAAGTGCTATAAACACATCAGTATTTGCAAGATGCACAACTCAAAAAGCGAACGAACATCGAAAATTCTAGGTACTTGTGTTCGTGTACACTTTTAAATACATCGTATGGAGAAGCACACCCTACAAGGTTTAAAATGACAATTTTGCAAACGTTTTCCACCAACTAATGTCACAACAGTGGCTGCATATCTGCTTTGTGAGGACTTCAAACGTGAATTCAATACTCCTCCACGAATCGAAGAATACACACAGTCACGATAATTCCTATAAGCTGAGAATGAAAAAAAAAAAGGAAATTAAAAAAAACCATTTTGTAAATCAGTTTTTTCAAAGAAAAATATACTGTGATTCACATCAAATCTTAGAGTGAACCCTATACTTGTTTTATGCTGAAATATTTTGAAATTAAGAAATTACTTTGAATATTTCATATTTTGAAATGTAAGAAATTAAAGAAAACAATTTTGCAAATCAGTTTTTTTAAAAGAAAAATATACTGTGATTCACATCAAATCTTAAAGTGAACCCTATGCTTGTTTTATGCAGAAATATTTTGTTATATTTTTCTATTCCATGCAGGTACAGTTTGTAAATGGATGAATTGCATTGCAGTGTCAGCCAATTCTAGATCTAATCTACACGATCCTTTAAAGCAATATTCACAGGTAAAATGACAGTACATTGATGACACTGTAAAAACTTGACAGAATAATACAACAATCCTTGATGTAATGATGACCCTGGTACACGTCTGGTTGGCATGTCAGCTGCATGCACGGCAGCCATATAATGACAAGATTTGTTTGATTTGAAAACTAATAGCAGTTGTACCCAATAAACTAACCTGTAGACAAGCCACTCCTATTCCAACAATTGCAAGAATGAAGAAATGTTCTTGAAAGAATTCTTCTACTTGTGTCAAACAGCCCTAAAACAAAGACTTTTGACTTCTGGAAATCCACTTTAACAACATATTAACACAACCAAACACTAAAGGGACTGACAGTTCCCTATTTAAACACAAATTGACATTTATAGAGCATAAAACAGTTAGAGTAAATCTAACACATTAAGCCAAAAATCCACTCATGTCTCCTGAACGAATGGCAAATTGTGTTGACTGAACAATGTAGTGCAGAGTTACTTTTAATTAACTGTTGAAAGACTTTTTTTTCCTTCAGCCAGAGATCTTTTCTCTATAGAGATGAGTATGTGACCAGTTTCTTACTTCGCTAAGGGTAAGAGGGATGAATGAGTGCCAATCAAATCCTCACAGAGGACTCAGATTATTCATTCTCTGCAAATGGCACCTTTGAATTCATATCATTGTTCAAGAATCCCTAGTACTTGATGCAATAATGTCAAAACATATATAAATAGTGTGCTCTTTACACTGTACCTCATTATTGATATTTGATGGGTGCATTCTTTTGCCACACCCCTCAGAAACTGTTTTACAGCATGAGTCGGGAACAACATTCTCATTTCCATCTCTTTGCTGCCATGATGTACCATTCCAACTCTTTCCACCAGTGTCACCACAACATCGGTTCTGAAGTAAGCAAGGAGTAATTAAAAGTGTTGAAATACATCATCTACAATCATTTTCATGAACTGAACATGAAAAGACTGCACAAAAATATTTATGAAGAACTTAACATTAATTTTTATAAAGAAAATAACACCAACCTCTTGTTGTAGCGTATCAATTGAATTAGTGACAGCATCATTCACACCATACTGCTGGTTCATTTTCTCCTTTATTGATGTTTGTATCTCATCTTTTATCTATAAACAGAATGAACAAATACTAAAATATACACATGGATGCATTCTGACACCTCCCTTGGATGGTCTGTCCCAAAACTAAAAAGTAGCTGCTTGCTGTAAAGAACAGACCATAAATAAAAAGGGAACAAGTTCTTAAAATGAATGAAAAATTGGCTGTTGTCAAAAGATGGCTACTTCAACAGCTACAAATGATAATGATTTAGAAAACAAATTTTATAAAGTTCATTGAAACTATAAGAAAATTTATGCGCTTAAAAGTTCATTTCAGTGATTTAAGTGCCCAACTTACTGTACTGTGATTTGCAGAAGTTCCATTGTATTTGTGATGCTTTTCTATAACTATTGATAAACACAAGTTAAGCACTGCAAAAATTTAAGCTTACCCCATCCTCTAAAATCTTGGTAGTTATAATTTTACCAAGCATGTGCATTAATTGTTTCCAAAATCAAAAACATCCAGAAAAGTCTATATGGTAGGCATCATGGAGTGCAAATTGGAGAGGAATTGTAAAGTAAATTAAGATGCTGTTAATTCATACCTTAACCCTTTAACTTCTAAGATCTGATTGGTAATTCTCCCCTCTAACTGCTACACATATCCATGTAAATTAGTTATGAGAATTTGGTGTTGGATCAAGACAACAATGTCTGCCTGATAAGTTTGAATATTCTCATTAGCTGTTTGCTGGATAATGTAAGGATACTAAAGGGAGAAGCTTCATGTTGATCATGTCTAGGAGTTAAAGGGTTAAGATATCTTTAACTACACAAAATATGTATCTTTTATTCTGAATAAATGAGAAAAAGGCAACTTTCTTTAAACTCCAAACACTCTGACTGATGCTCAAACAAAAACCACTGAGTCTTAATACAATTTGCTAGTTTTTGAACATAGTTTAATTACCTTGGAAGAGTAAACAAATGCCAGAACTCCAATAGCTAATTCCAGGATGAAAATCAAGATCACCATCACTAAAAACTGTCAAAAATGAGAAGACATAGGCAAGTTAGTTATATTTAACATTCAAAAACTTGGGTAGTCTGTAAAACCAAAAAAACTTTTGGTTCTGAAGTACTGAACTGCATAGGGAGCATCTTAAACTACATCAAAAGAAATGATTCCTTTAACTGCCAAAAGGTTCCAAGTATAAAAGCATAGGAACACACTTGCTTTGTTACTAAATATAACACTAGTAAATCCTCTACCAATTGCATGATTATCAACATATTGGAAAATATTTTCATCTCTATTTAAAACTTTACTGTGACTAGTTCACCTCTTAATTGCAAAAAATTATAACTTTGGCACACAACATCATAACTTTATCATCATGAAACAATAGAATCCACCAAGAAACTCACTGAAATTAAGAAAAAGCGATTTTCTTTGGCTGCTCCCAAACACCCTATGATCCCTACAATAACAACCACAACTCCAGCTGCAATCATAAGACCAGGAATAATGACATATATATCACTATCCAGCAAGCTCTGATAGTCACTTTTGTACACCATGATCCATATTCCAACTCCCATAATACCAAGTCCTGCAAGCTGATAACAATTAAAGAATTATGAATTAAAATTAATCTGTTACAGGAAAGTAAAGTTCATCAAAACACACCATTACTATCACATCCTCTTTGATAAGTACCCAAAAGGAGTCAAAGGAGTCCTTGTGTGTTTCTTGTCCCCCTTCTGGGTTGAACAACTAATAGATTCTAATGGTGAGTTACTGTGACAGTGTGTAATCAAACTAAAACAAAATTCCCAATCATGATTGGTAATCATCAGCCCAATATGAATACTTATCAGACAGTGTATGCATCATGCTTTAACCCTTTAACTCCCAAGATCTCATTAGTAATTCTCCTTACTATCTCCTATACAGTTCTTGTGATGATAGTTTGGAGGATTTAGTATTGGATTATCTTATAATCCCCTAACTGATATTTTTCTTTATTCTCATAACTTGTCTGCTTGATATTGTTTTGATATTGTAAGGAGAAATTCTTTCTTGGTCACTTATGAGAGTTAAAGGGTTAATTGGACAGTGGACGCATCATGTCTATGTAATTGGACAGTTCAACTACCATTACTGATCAAATTGAAATAAGCGAAATCAGAGAATCATTCAAAAGCCTTTTTTTTCCAATTTCATACAATTTCTAGTAACCTTAAGCAATGATTACTATCAGAATTTGGCCGCAATTTTGTAAGTATACCATTTGCCAAAACATTCCCACAATAATAGTGTTTTTTTTTTTATTTGTGTGTTGTATCGTATTTCAAGTATTACTGAAAAGGCACTACAAGGAAGGGGGGGAAGTAGTTTGTAAATGGGTTCAAAATTAGTCAGTAATATTATTGAAGAACACAAACACTAATTTCGATTTCTTTCTGTAAATTTGCTATAATTTACTGGCCACAATTAAGATAAGTCAATAAAAAAAAATGTTTCCAATTCCAGTCAAAGAATAGACAAAGATGCCCCTCTAGATAAAAATTGAATTCCGCCGAACAGAGTGAAGGAAAACTCATCACTTTGATCAGACAGGTTGAAGTGTTACTGTTACTGAGAGCAGTCAGTATTCTAAAGAGAATGACACTTTCTAAAAATATGGCTAAAATTCAAAATATGAGACTTAAGCTTATGAAAATTTCTGGATGCTACTGGTTTATTCAGGATACATCCGCAATAAGCTATATTTATCGATATCGTTCAATGGTTAGAACATTCTTTTATTTGAAATCTTTGGGAAAAAAGGGTTCTAGTCATATCATTTACTCTACAAACCGAAGAAAGACACGGTTGAACAACCACAACATATGATGAAATAAAACTCATTAAGTCACGGAAAGGAAAATAAAAGGCAGCTGTTGTCCAGTTGATCAATACACACATCATCTTGAGAATAAAACGTAAGCTTATTTTGTGATCATATACGTTGTCTAGAGGACTGACTCAGGCAGAAAGATAAGGGGAATTAACTATGTTGTACATGAATGATTACTCGTATTTAAAAATACCACATTAGCGAGACATCTACAAGAAAAACCAAAATACAATTACGTTAAGCTGGTTGTACTCGAGAAGTTGGGCTGCTGGTTGGCTGATCAGAATTACTTACCCAAAAAAGGAAACTGAACACGAAGAACAACGTCTTCATGCAGACGATGTTACAAAATCCCTCATTTCTTGCCTTCATCATTTTCACGTGCGATAGAATGAGAACAGACAAAACCCACAAGCAGTACAACCGGAGGAAATCGGTAAATCTCGAGAATTTAGATAACTATTAATCAATGCAGAAGTTCATAAACAACGGAAGTAGGCGTGAGGGTCGTCATGTCAGGCAACAACCAATCAAATAACACATCTCATTCACGTGACAACCATGGAAATAACGCCTTACGAAAAATCAGGAAGATTGGACAAGTGTGAAATTTTGAACAGGGAATTAAATCAAACTATTGACAAACTCTGAAAACCACGAACATGATAAATATTTCTTGAGTTTTTCGGTGTTATGACCATTCTTGATGGATGTCAGAACATGTGAGTAAATAACAAAACCACAAGGTAAATGAGAGTTCCTCTCGTCACAAAAACTATCGAGGACCCTTCCTACTGTTACAAAACGGTTCTCTTAACCTCACTTTAAATGATATAAGTGATGAATAAAAAAAAGCGAAATAAAAACAGGATAAAAACATCCGACACAAACATGAATAAATCATTGAAAATCTCGTTCAGTATCATAAGGCCCCTCCCAGAAACCACACCACTGAAAACGAAAACACGCCATGTTAAATGGTTAACTTAGAAAAGGTATTAGTTATAAAATACGAGTGCCAATAAAAAGCTCTTTGTATGGTCTCTTCTCTGTAAAATATCTCACACGCGTGACTATTCTAGGGGCCAGTAAAATTTCTGCTGGGTCAGTGCATCTACAAGTGTCATAAACAAGGATGTTCAATGCGCCATAGCTGAACCAAATTTAAGCAATAAAAATTTCTTAAACTGATCGGTAATGAATGCTAGGGTTTGGTGAAATACACCATTGAACTTTTTTGCTCATATTGAAACTACTTCAACTCACACATGTGTCACGTGACATATTTTTCCAACAAAATTTCGAGGGCTTTTCAGATGTATCTGTTATCAATAACAAAATAATGAAGCATGATTCGAGAGAGATAACGACTAATTTTGAAACTATACTTTTGAACATTGTAACCACTCTGAAAGAAGCTTGACACATTCCTTGAACTTAGAGGAAAAAGGAAAGTAACGACCATGAGCTGGTAGTCATCCAAAATATTGAGCAGTGAATCACTTTCCTTCATGGACCGGCTGAGGACATTTCATTTTGTAGTTTTTAATAAGCGTAGTTTTTTTTTCGAAGAAGACACACACCTAGTTAGTATCTGGATTTTTCTCCACTGAATCCAGCTTTTGATTTTTTATTGCATTTCTATTTCAAGCGCCGGCTCTCAAGATTATTAGTCAAAGGAAGCAGCCTTCACAACAAGAGTTTTCACATTTTCTTTTAGTGTGTTCTACCTAAAATATTCAAAATTAGTTTCGCGATTTAATTCACTGTAATATGTTCCATTATCGTGGGAATTTGGGCAGGTTGCGTCACTCATTAGGAAATCACATAAATCAGTCAACACAAATTATCAAAATTTAACAAACTCGTGCGAAATAGGTACTCATTAACAGAGAACATTATGAGCTTCGATGTTTTAATTTTATTTTCTTCCAGGGATGAGGTTTACGCCTTTTATTCGTGCTTCTCCTCTCTTAATGGTTTCCTTAAAGTTGGGGAAACGAGAAGATCAAGCCTACAACGGAAAAATGTCTAAAGGCACACAACAAGCGATTGGTGTGTGCATTCATCTGCAAGCCATAGAAGGTAAGTAACAAGAGAGACAAAAAATTAACGAATAAATATATCAAGACTGAGGCTTTATTAGAAGCTCAACTAATCAGTGGAATAATCCAGTAAATTCTTCTGTCAAAGATAATGAAGGACGGTTTCTCTTTCCTTGGAAGACCGGGTTGTTTCGATGATAACTAAAATGGGACAAATATTTCCTTCGGAAAAGATAATTCTGAGTCACTCCCCTTTCCTCCTTTTTCCGTAATAATCGAAAACGCCAGTACTATCTGCGACGTTCCTCTAATTCCATGATAATTGAAGAATTAAACACGAGTTTAGCTGAGTTTAGCGCTGGTTTGGCCATTAAAAATATTTTGGCCTTCTCTATAATTGGTACTTAGTGTCGAGTAAGAGTCGCAGAACTGTTATGAAGGTAAAGTTTACGTAGCATAGGTGTTAACGCTAAAAATTGCATGTTGTATGCCATCCACTAAATTAGTACAGAAGTATTAAATATTTGCATATCGTTTACTGCTTTTCTTGCACTTTACTTTTCCCGCTTCTCTCAGGTGCATGTTACCAAACGCACGGTATGACAGAATTATTGTGAAGTTTCCGAAACGTTTGCTGTGTTTAAAGTGTAGCGTTTATTTGATGATAAGAAAAAATTAAGAATCAAAGTAATTAACAGCACTTGCTCCGAAAGAGACCGCAATTCCCTTTAATAATTGGATTGCCTCATTGGGAGCGTTGAAAGGGCCGACCAACTCATTGAAGTTACGCCATATGTTATGCTAAAGGAAAATAGATCCTGATTATCTCATCTTTGATTGTGCATTTTTTCGTGAAGTTATTGTTACAAGGAGACAATTTCTAGAATAGAGCACCTTTTGCTATTTATTTACGCCAAATGTACATTCATTTACGTCAACAGTTGAAACTGTACGGCAAATATACATTCATTTGCACTTCCATGAACTTCATTAACGCGAACAAACTTTCAATAACGCTATTTGCATGTGTGTTAACATTTAATAACAACGGATGAACAATTGCACCTTTGGACAATCAAACATAACAAATATACTTTCAATCTCGCGCAATGGTTGATCATTAACACTAATAGAAAATCAATTGCATAGCATGACGATCAATTGCGTATTAGAAACATACAATAATACAATTTGCATAGAGACGCACAATCAATTGCACCTTCATGCAATCGTTTATTCAAATGGTCAATCATCAACGCGAACTGACAAAATGTTCGAATAGATGATGAAATGAGGAATTGCCTGAATGACATTTTAAACGAAAATTGCCTGTTAACACTAGCACAGATAAATCAAGAATTGAGACAGCGTCTTCCAAGAAAACCAACATCCATGACCATACAGTAGCAAGAACACTTAAAAGTATGTTGTATCGTGTAAAACTGGCAAGGCCACTCCCAGTTGAACGAAACCGCCCTGATGTCCTGCAAAAAAGAGTCGACTATGCCAACAGGTTCATGCACCATGCTGTAGTGAATCATAGAATATTTGTAGACGAGCGTGGGTACAATATTTGGACGGCAAGAAGACACGGACGAGCAAGGATGATAGAGAGGGCACGTCGACAAGTATGTGGTCAGCGAGGGAGAAGTGTTACTGTAGCACTGGCAATTTCACCCACCAATGGACTAGTTTTTCACTCGGCACTTCTCGGTGGAATGAATGGACATTTAATGATTTTCTGTCACAGGCAAGGCTAAATGTCGACCCAAATGAATATGTGATTTCATTTATGACAGCGCACCAGCCCACAACAATCCTGCCATTGTGGTACAGATTTATGCAAACGTACCTTCTAAGATGTTTAAATAATGAAGAAATTGAAGGAAAATTACAAAACATGACATTACAGTACACTGTAATAGAACAATATGAAATTTCTTTTTCCCCAGTTGATTGTTATTACTACACACGTTTGTCAGTTCACGTTAATGATTGATCATTTTGAATAAACGATTGTATGAAGGTGTAATTGATTGTGCGTCCCTATGCAAATTGCATTATTGTACGTTTCTAAGACGCAATTGATTGTCATACTATGCAATTGATTTTCTATTGGTGTTAATAATCAACCATTGCGCAAGATTAAAAGTATGGTTGTTATGTTTGATTGTCCAAAGGTGCAATTGTTCATTGCAAAGGTGCAATTGTTCATCCGGTTCATGCCATTGAATGTTAATACAAATGCAAATGACGTTAAAGTTCGTTCGCGTTCATGAAGTTCATGGAAGTGCTAATGAACGTATATTTGCCGTATACTTTCAACTATTGACGTAAATGAATGTACATTTTGCGTAAATGAACAACAAAAGGTGTAGTTAAGTCGCCGATTTTGGCCAGATCGGAATAGATAAAATACTCATGATTTCAACTACCCATACGTTACTGCTTGACTATGGTCCCATGCCGAGAATGCGTACTTGCAACCTCAACCTAAAACTGCACTGAACGTTTGAAAAGCGGAAAAATTGGTGATGTAAAATTCATAGGGGGAATTGTTTGTAGTCTCGCCGTAATTAGGGAGAATGGTAATATCCTAATATTGGCCCCTCCTTCAAGTAAAGTATTTTTTGTTGCGGTTCCAACAGATTGTACCCGAATTAAAAGAAAGCCTCTAGGAAGTTTTAAGCGCAGTTTCATATGTGTGATATTTTTCTCTTTCATTCCTATTTCAAAAAGCATGTTTTAAGCCGGGAAATGGAGAATGTTTGCAGCAAACATGTCATCTTGTGTGTTGGTGCGCGATTTTCGATGTTTCCGCGCTGCTCTTATTCTTACATGCGTCATCCCAACTATCTAAGGTTTTCTATTTCTAGTCTTTAAATAAAAAAATACGGTTTTGTATTTAGGCACGGAACAAAGCCAGTTTTGCATTACCAAACAAAAATCATTTACCTCTCATCGATGAATAATAATATATGTACTTGAGCTATGGAAGAGTGCCAGGTGAGTAATAATTATGCATACGTTGAGTGAGACATGAAGCGGTGACAAGAGCGAACAATGAATCAGCCAATATTTCCGACAATTCCGTTTCCGTTTCAAGGATTGGTTTTTTAACATCTAAATTGGGACCTATTGTAAGGTTTTATCATTCATTTTTATCATTGATAATCACTGTGAGTTGAAGAACATAACTTTGAATTTGTAAGGGGATCCGCCGGGTTCTGTTTTTGAAGGAAACGAAGGTACGTTTTTCAATTTCTCCACAACAGAGATCGAAATTTGGTACTTTTTATTGTCGCTGCCAATAAAGAAAAGCGATTTCAATCTGCTTCCGATTTTAAGTTCACTCAGCCTCGGACTGTTAGTGAAAACATCAACATTTAGAGTGCTAGAATCTTTCCGGCGTTTTA